TATAGAATATGTCCAGATGTCTGACTGGCAGTTGGCCAGTTGCTCCAGCCCCCTCCACAGTCCAGCACTCCAGTGAGCGCTGGAGGGGCACAACACAGAGCGGTGACTGACAGTCACTGCTCTCTGCTCAGAGCGGACCCAGGAACTGAGCAATCTGCAGTGTTTGATCACTTCGTTATCGGTGTAGAGCCAGCAGGGAACAGCTGTAGCATTGGATCGATGCTGCAGCCATCTAGATGAGTACGTATGTTTGTTTTTTCATTCCTCTGCTTCTCTTATAATCTCTTACCATGGCAGCATGTACAGGCAACGACATACCTGTACATCATTTTGCCTGTACAAAGGAGGGTGCTGAGTAAACCCCCCCTTCTCCGTGTACTCGGGACCCGGTAATCATGTGATCATAATGTCAAAAAAGCTATTATGAATCAATATGATTTATAACAGCTTTGCTTCCTATAGTAATGAGCTGTGATAGGCCCACAGCTAGCACATGGTACTTGGGCCAATCACAGCACCCTATACCATGTGATTAGCTGTAAGCAATCACAGATCACTAGTGTTCACAGTTGTCATGAACTTAACCCATTCATGACAGTTCAAATAATTGCTGGTACAATGATCTTACACAAGATCACCCCCCAGAGTAGTACAATGTTACTATGGTAACATTGAACTACTCTGATGAAAGAATTAAAAAAAAATGTGAAAAAATAAAAAAAAATATTGAAAATATTGAATAAAATAATGATTTAACTTTTTAAAAAATGCTGTCACTAGCCAGTGTCCCTGATCACCACACCAGTCATACCATGACGCTGCTCTGTGCTGGTGATGGTGAAAAAACAAATTGTGGAAAAAGAAATGTCTTAATCTTCCACAAAATTGTGACAAAAAATCACAACTTCAATAAACGTGCCATGCCTCTTACTAAATATCTCAGACTGTCTACTTTCGAAAAAGGGGTCATTTGTGGATATTTGTCCTCTCCTGACATTTTAAAGGCTTCAAGAAAAGAGATAGGCTGTCAATACATCAGGATTGATCAATTTTCAAATATAATGTATATCCCATAGTTTGTGGATGCTATCATTTTCATACAGACTATATACACAAACTGGGGTTTTTTTTCAACAAAGACATGTAGCAGAATACATTTTGGCCATTTATAACAGAAAATAATGGAGTTTTTTTTTTTCAACATTTCTAGTATATTTTCATTTATATAATATAAAATAAAAAAAATATCAGTGGTGATCAAATACCACCAAAAGAAAGCTATATTTGAATTGTCTATCTCCCCAACCTCTTTGCTTTTGTAGAGACAAGGTAAATTCCATCCTGCATTTCTAAACATATGAGGAGAAATGAAAAAATGGTATTTACACAATGCAGAACCAACATAACCTGTTTAAGGTCTACTATATACATATAGGGGGTTATTTACTAAAACGGAAGAGTGCAAAATCTGGTGCAGCTCTGCATAGAAACCAGTCAGCTTTCAGGTGTTATTGTCAAATCTTAATTGAACAAGCTGAGGTTAGAAGCTGATTGGCTTCCATGCACAGCTGCATCAGATTCTAAGTGCTCCAGTTTTAATAAATCTCTCTCCCATAGTCTGAATGTACAATCATTTTTAGATCTACCTATAGCTATGTAATGCAAGGGCCTACTGTACCCCACTGGATACAAAGTGAAAGGATTACTTAGGTAGGCCTTCATATTGCATAATTTGATAAAACGCGATTCTACAGAGATTGTACAATTAGATTCGAAGTCTGCATTGTACCCTCTGTCACTTTTTACCTGGCTTTCTCTGCTAATAGTAATGAAATGAGGAATGTACTTGACTGCGCCAAACTGTTCATTATTATCAGTTGTGATGATGTGAGTTAAAAAAATGTGTATATACTGTAGGTATAACGTCCAGAAACCATTATAAGTTTCACTTTGTTAGCACTAGTGTTAGCACTAGTATGTAAATAGATAGATAGAAAACCGGCTAAAAGACTGAATTTAGAGAGTAGTGGTTAATGATTCATACTCTGAATGGTCTAGGGTTGTCAGTGGTGTACCCCAAGGTTCAGTGTTGGGACCCTTACTTTTTAATATATTTATAAATGATATAGAGTCTCGGATTAAAAATACCATTTCAGTCTCTGCAGATGACACCAAGCTTTGCGTGGAATAACGTCCTTACAGGATGTCCTCAATGTACAGGCCAACCTCAATGCACTGTGCAGTTGGGCAACTGTGGCAAATGAGGTTTAATGTTGATAAATGTAAAGTTATGCACTTGGGGGCTAAGAATATGCATGCATCATACAGACTAGGGGGAGTACAACTGGGGGAATCAATGGTGGAGAAGGATCTGGGAGTTCTGGTAGATCACAAGCTTAATAATGGCATGCAATGCCAAGCTGCGATTTCTAAAGGAAGCAAAATCCTCCCTTGTATTAAAAGAGGTATAGACTCCAGAGAGAGAGATATCATTCTACCCCTGTACTAATCATTAGTAAAACCTCATCTGGAATATGCAATTCAGTTTTGGGCACCAATTCACAAAAAGAGTATTGGGGAACTGGAGAAAGTGCAGAGAAGGGCAACCAAACTGATAAGAAGCATGGAGGAGCTCAGCTATGAGGAAAGATTAGAGGAACCAAATTTATTCTCTCTTGAGAAGAGGAGATTAAGGGGGGATATGATCAACATGTATAAATACATCAGTGGTTCATATAGTGAACTCAGTGTAGAGTTATTCACCCTGAGGTCATCACAGAGGACAAGGGGGCACTCTTTATGCTTGGATGAAAAGAGATGTAATCTTCAAATACGGAAAGGTTTCCTCACAGTAACAGATGTGAAAATGTGGAATACACTCCCTCAAGAGTTGGTTCTAGCCAGCTCAGTAGATTGCTTTAAAAAAGGCCTGGATTCATTCCTAGATACACATAATATAACTGAATACTAATATTTATAGGTAACTTTGGTCAAGGGAATATCTGATTGCCTCTTGGGGGATCAGGAAGGAATTTTTTAATTTCAATTGGATCTTGCTGGGTTTTTTGCCTTCCTCTGGATCAACTGTGAGTATAGGATTACAACTTTTTTTCTTTTTTTTTATGGTTGAACTAGATGGACTTTTGTCTTTTTTCAGCCAGACTAACTATATAACCATGTAACATCAGCACTAGTGAATAGCAAATTTGTTGACCATCTGATTTGCACACATTTACTTGTACCAACATACCTGCATATCTTTTAGTAACTAGTGCCCGCTATGTGTGTGGAATGGTGGATTCTCAGTTTCAAGTAGAGGGGCTTCATATGTCTAGCATTCCAAGGATAGAAAGAAAAGAGAGGGATAAATCTACAAACTCTATGTAGTCTAAGATGGCATAAACTAACAGGTCTCCAATTCTGTTATTTTCCACTTCTAAAATACAGGCAGTCCCCGAGTTACGAACATTCGGTTTACTTATGATTCATACTTAGGAATGAAAGCAGTGTGCCGGCATTTCTGGCTGCTTGTGCTCCATGCTGGTCCCGGAAACCATCTTGCTGCTCACTGAGTGCTGCCATCTACTGTCCTGTGGACCTGTCCGCAATCCCACATCACTACATGGCCAGAAAAGCCACTATGAGGTTTTTACTGTTGTCTGTATACTCATTGGAAAGATTTAATCTCACTTCCTGTCCTGAAAACAACAGGAAGTGAGAGGAAATCTACCCCTAGGAAGGAAAATTCACTCCTGTAAGAGTTACCGTGAGAAAAAGAGTCTCCACTGAAGCTTTATCACCAATCAGTGTTTCTACGACAACCCAAAATTTTCAAAATCCAGTTTTTACAGGGACAGAAAGTAAGGTGAAAACAAACATTACAGGGGTGTTAACCCTTCCCTATGCTATCCAAAACATAAAAATAATTGTTTGGCTAGAGTTACACTTAAAAAATATACCTGTTCCAACTTACATAAAAAATTCAACTTTAATAAAAACCTACAGAACCTATATTGTTTGTAACCTGGGGATTGCCTGTATAGGGCACAGTTCTGGGTATCACACTGTAAAAAAAAAAAAACAGTTTTGGAGAGGGAACAGAGATGGGCAACTAAATTCATGAAAACCCTACAATGAAAGTTTATACAAACTAGGTATGCTTGGAAAATATGAAAGTGATGTCATCATCATTATGATACACCCAGAAGTGACGTAGTACACCCGGAGACGGAGTCATCCTGCCTGGCATGGGGCAGGCAGCCGAAACACCTATGTGACTGCATCTAACTGCGACTATACCCTAGGGCTATGCTAAGCACTAGTCTTGTGGGTAGAATTTTTATTGGTTTTAACATTATAAAAGCATCTTAAGGTTGTTATGCTATGGTGGTCTTTCTTTACCTCTATATGGCTTAATATGAGTGTCCTGGAGAATAAGGGGAATATTCTATATTAAAGAAGTGGTGGATGGTGCCTTAGAAACACAGCAAGTGCAGCATGAGTGGTCATATTTGTCTGATGAGTTTTCTGTGTTGGTGATAGAGGAGCACTGGAATATCACACAAGACTGTGAAGCGGTGTTTGTAGAAGATGTATGGAAACACATGGTTGTGATTCATTTTCACAGACTCACTTATGTTAGCCACATGGTGGCACATAATATATATTTTGGTGGAGTTTTTTTCTGTATCTGTACACTGTTATGATAATTTGGAAACACAAAAAAACAAGGAAAATAAATGTTTGCCATACATTTAGGAAGGGGTTCTTTGCAGAAAGAGTTATGGGTATAAAGGCAAAGAAAGCAATTTTTGGTACCTTGGCATTTAACCAATTCCAAAGTTTGGGGGAGTCAGAAACGGTTATAAAGAGTAAAGGCTAAGAAAGCATTTTTTTTTAATCCTTGTCTTTGAACCAATTGAGCTTGGGGGGGTTGCTCTGTTGCTTTTCTGGATCAAAGCTCCAGGAGTTATGAAAGGCTGAACTTGATGGACATTGATCTTCACTCAATTTTATTAACTTCATCTGGTGCTTAGACTTCATTTCATGATAAGTGCAGTGCCATGTGTTGAGGGAGAAGGTGGTCATAGACATTGTGTCTTTGTTCTCCATCTCTAGCACATAATGAAGACATCAGGGGTCACTTGGGTCACCCAATACCTCTATAAAGGGGACTTACTGAACCCAGGGGCGGACTGACCATTTGGAAACTCGGGCACTGCCCGAGGTCCCGGGGTCAGTAAGGGGCCCCATGAGATGCCCCTGGTTCCTTTCATAGGTGTTTTTGGGTGTGGTTTGAGTGTGGGCGAGGATACAGGGGCCCCATGATCCCCTATTGCCCGGGGGCCCCATGAGTTGTCAGTCCGCCCCTGACTTAACCCATTATATACAATTAACAAAATGCACAGAATTAAAGTTAAATAATAAAAAATAAAAAAATCTAGAACATACAGGTAAACAGCAAAGCCCTATTATACTTTCACATCAATTATGCCCACACAAAGTCGTGGTTTAGGAATAATTCTAAATTGATGAAGTATGAGTGCCTTCTTTACAGTTATGTGTACCTGTGATTTTAACTGTATTTCAATTAGCTCAAAAAACAAAATTTTATTTATATTATATTTACAAGAGAAGTTTGAAGTTATGTTGCACTTTATCAAAAATATCACTTTGCTAAGTATTTGCTCAACTATGAATGTGTAGAGACGTACAAAATCAAGAGTACTATCATTTGATTCTACAGGTCTTTCACTATCAGAAACAGTATGGTTTGGGGTCCTTTCACACACTTTTGAATGTGATCTTGGTATGTGAAAAATATAAAGAAAGGTTTAGCCATCTAAGGAGCATATTCTAAGTTCCTGACAGGGGAAGGGTCAGATCTAGCAAACCAATGTGTGGAATTTTTCACTTCACAAACTGAATAGCCTGGGAGAAGTGTGATAGCACCGCTTCAGAAAGTGCAGAGTGTAAGAACAACATGTCATGTTTATAATCTAGAGAAAAAATATGACAGAATAAATCCTGGCAAGGTCATCTTTATTTGGTTGGAAGAACACATAAGCCATTGCCGCTGCCAAGCAGACAGTTCTGACTTCACAACTCTAAAAAAAATACATATCTGTGAGGTAAATTCTGTTTTCCAGGCAGTGGTACACTGAAAACAAGTAGATTTTTTACTTGCCTCATATTTTCCTTAGACAAGGCCTGGGACTGGCATACAGCTAATTTTTCACCATGGCAGGGAGAATTTAGGATTAGTATTAATATAAGCAATTAAAAATGAGCAAACTTCCTTAAAACTTGCCCCTCCAACACACTGAATCTGATTTAGTAAAAGGAAATTTACAATTCATAGAGATATCCCTATGAAAATAATGTAAAGTTTGTGTTTCAGATTTACATGAACGCGCAGATATCTGTGCACCCAGCAAAAACTTTAATGCTGAAATTTAGGAATGGCAATTTTCACATAGTTACCTTGGTTCATCCTGCACCAATGTACTGTAAGGCAGGCCATAGATGAGAACCGAATGTTCTGTCAATCGAAAAACAAAAATTGCTCATATGACTGCGCCATCATCTGTTTCGTTTTTCGAAGTACTGTCCGTGATACTTTTTTTATTTGCACTAACATACAATTTTCAGGACAAGCTTTCGGTGTATGTCCCCTTCTTCAAGGTCCAAGCAGTACTCAGCGATACTGACAGTACTCAATTGTTTCTGTCGCAAGTGCACTAATATGTCTACAATCACCTCAAGCAAAATGGAAGATTTTTCAAAACAAAACCCAGATTGTTGGATCAAGCACTTTCAATTGCGACACAAAAATTGAATGTCACAGCTGGCACAATAATGATGTGAAAAACGAGCAACCAAGGATTTCCATTTGTTTTTCGACTCGTCTATGGCCTGCTTAAATATGTACGTGCCATATCTGTGAGATCTCCATGGAAGCTAGAAATCACTATAGTAGGCACCATTACTCTAGTGATCTCCACTAGCTTGTAGGTTTCGTAATGAGCGGCCGTCTTGCTGCATTGTGAACACAGCAGGTCACTCGCTTAGCAAAGGCACCATTTAAAGAACACTTTGCATTTCGTCAATGAATGCAAAGTGTTCATTGATTGGACAAGGCGTCACAATCTCCACCTCATCCAATTAGAAAACACTTTGCATTTGTTGAGAAAAAAACACACATTTTCTCTGGATGGCATCCTTGCCAAGTGGGTGACTTCCTGTGTTCAGTAAGCAGCAGGGCAGCTGCTTGGCGCAGAAGCCAAAGAAGCACAGAAGCAAGTGGAGATAACTGTAGCAGCAGTGACTACTATAGTGATTGTCAGCTTTTGTGGGGATTCCAATGGTATGGTGCATACATGCTTTTATTCATCCAAGCTGGACCAATGTAAATATTGCCATACCTGGAATTCAGCTTTAAGCTTTTAAAGGGGTTCTAAAGCCTGCGCGTTTATTATCGTAATGCATTTTCTGCATTAAGGTAAAAAACACCCCACTATCTCCCCCCCCCCTAAACACTTACCTGAGCCTGTTAGCGATCCAGTGCTGAAAGGCTCAGGTAAGTGGTCTTCTCTCCCCCTTCTTTCTAGTCTCACAGGGACTCTGGCAGCAACGGCAGCCAGAGCCACGCTGTGGGTGCTTATGTATGCACACAGCCCATCTTGGGAGCGAGCCTGCACAAGTGCCCTCCAAAAAAACTGCTTGCTCTGGAGGCAATCGCAGAAGAAGAGAGCCAAGAGTATTAGCGGGGTACCCCAGAAGAGGAAGAAGGAGACTGTTCTGTGAAATACTGGTGCACAGAGCATGTAAGTATAACATATTTATTAAATATAAAAAGTGCAGTGCTAAAACTGACAAAAAAGTTAATAGCGATAAAAATATTGTAGTTTTATGAGTACATTAAAACCATATATTACATAAAATGTTACCGTGCAAAATCATAAACAATTATCTCTACAATTGTGCAAAAAATCAATGTGCAAACTGGTAAGTATAACGTACAGAAGTGCCAAAACAGTCTTAAAGCGGAGTTCTACTCAAAAGCAAAAGCTCCGCTTATTTGCCTCCTCCCCCCTCCACTGCCATATTTGGCACCTTTTGGGGCGGAGCGGGTACCTGTTTTTGACAGCCGTGGCCAACTGACCTGGAAGTTCGGCCCCCTCCTTGCTCTTGCAGTCTCCTGGGATCTTTCACAGGTCCCAGGAGACTGCCAGACCAATCAGGAGGCACAGCACGACTCGCGCATGCGCAGTGGGCACCAGACTGCGAGGCTGCAAGCTGTAACAGCCTGGTGCTCACAGTAGAGATGCTGGCGCATAGAGAAGAGAAGGAAAGAAGGGATCCCAGGTGACTGCCGGACCAATCAGGAGGTGCGACGCGACTCACACATGCGCAGTGGGCACAAGACTGTGAGGCTGCAAGCTGTCACAGCCTGGTGCCCACAGTAGAGATGCCGGCACCGTGGAGGACAGAAGGAGAGAAGGGACAGCGTGGGTGAGAATATCGCTGGACCCCAGGACAGGTAAGTCTGTGTTTATTAAAAGTCAGCCGCTACAGTTTTTGTAGCGGCTGACTTTTAATAAACATAAAAACGTCTGGAACTCCACTTTAGGTGGACTTATTGATCAGACAAGTTCAAAGAACATAAATAAAGTGCTCCAACAAAAAATAGTCTCCTCCAGTACTCGCGTGTGGAAACATTCACACCACACTGCTGTGAACATCAAAGTGATTCTAAAGGGTTTCTTTTTCCTAAATAACAAACATGTCATACTTACCTGCTCTGTGCAATGGTTTTGCACAGAGTAGCCCCGATCCTCTTCTTCTCGGGTCGCCCGCTGGACCTATCTGGCCCCTCCCTCCTGACCAGTGCCCTCAATAGCAAGCCGCTTACTATGGGAGGACTAGTGTGTGCTCACTCCCAAGCTCTACTCTTTGCGTCCATAAGAACATAGAGCTGCTGCTAGGCCCCACCACCACTCTCTCCTCCTTGACTCACTGGCTGAATTGACAGCAGTGTGAGCCAATGGCTCCTGCTGCTATGTCTCAGCCAGTGAGGAGAGAGAGACCTGGGATAGCTGAGGCTCCCTTGAATAGTACTGAATCAAGAGAAGGCTCAGGGGAGTATAAGGGAGAGGCTGTGGGGGGAGAAGCACACAGAAGGTTTATTTACCTTCATGCATAGGATGCATGAAGGTAAAAAACCTTCAGCCTTTGCAACCACCTCAAGCTTCTTACCAGAAAACAATGACCCCCCATTACCAGAATGGTATTTATGGGCATATCATCCCGTGATCCTGCAGAGTAACACAAGGCACCCCTAGGAGGCATCCAACCATGGGAAGGTAAACTAATAATTGGTGATCTCAGCTCCACCAATCACAGGTTGATAGAATCTTCGCACAATGTTTATCCAGCAAATAACATACAGGGCAAAGAAGGCACAAACAAGGGAGGAGCTCCCAATAGCATAAGATCTTTTAAAACCGCTTATTAAAATAAATGGTGCACTCACATTAATTTATAGTGGATAACAGTGCTGTATAAACAAATACCCAAATCCAAGATGGTGGCCAGCCAGTGCACATGTGTATGTTGTAGCACTTCCCTTTGTGTTTCATCAGAGGTGACATCATCAAAACCCCATTTCCTTTGAGGTCACTCCTTGCTTATGTTCTGGAATTTTATTTGCTAAACATTTTACTGCATACTTAAAGCAGAACTCTGGGGAAAAACATCTTTACATGTCCTTGTTGCTGATTTCCTACCTTCACTGAATATGTCATCCATCTTCTGGCTCACTCAGTAGTTGCTCTGAAATAGCCTATTCATTTTCAAATCAAACCATTAATTCTCATTGGTTCCCTGTTTGTAAGACCAGTGGTTACTATGCCTCCTATTCTTCCAGCCACTGGTCTTGGCCCATCCCTTCTGTAGTTATTTCTCCAGGAAGCAGAGATGTCATTCAACCCAGCTTGCTGTAATGGGTGGACCGAGACTCTCAAACGCATTCAATATGCACAGGCCTAGCGTACCCACCCACATTCACTACAATCATGTGATTGATGGGAACTGTAGTTTCCTTTTACTGCAGAGAGAGAGGAGAGGATATGATGTAATCCCTGCTGTTACACCTCCTCCTTGGCAGAGCAGATGCTGTTATCTTTTGAATTACAGAGATGAGGTCATGAAAAATTCACAGACTTTTCTCCTAAATGGTAAGGATTTTTAGAATGTTATTAACTGTTTAGTGTTTTGTGTAGGGAGGGACTAATGGGTGTTTTTTTTTTTTTTTTGCCTATCCAGGAGTTCTTCTTTAATACTTTTGTTTAATTCCTAAATAAAGTGAAGCCAGATTTCCTGTGCTTTAAGACATACTTTTTCAATGTAAATGAACTTTGATGTACGCATAAAATGTTTTAGGACGTATTACCAATTTCTCTGGAATTTTGACCTGATTTAAGTCCAGCTGTTACTGATGTAATAGGTCTGGACCATATGAAGACTTTATTGCCATGCCAATGGAATACATGGTTGCACCAAATGAAGAAACTATATGACTACATATCAAATATATTGAAAAGGCATGGAAATGTATTAAATAATGCTACAATCATACACCTTTTGATACTATTTTGCATGTACTCTTTCATCATGAATAGTTATTTATATGATAGTAGATTGCGTGTCAAAATGTAGTGCATGCCAGCTAAGAGATGGTTGTGTGATCTCACAGCTCCGCAAACATTGGCTTTATAACAAAAAGACATACAAATCATGGGTCATGATTCAAGCCATAGGTATAATAATTGTCCAGATGTAGATTGCCAAGTCCAGACAGTTGAAGCAAAACTCTAGCTGAAAATAAAAAGCTAAAGATAAATTGCTCATTAAAACCTAAAGTAACAAAAGTAACTTTTGCTGCAACATTCAGCTTCAATCCAGTGATTTTCCCTGCAGTACTTTAATTTTGCTGCTAGATGTTATAGTCTAATGGCAAGCATCATTCTAACCACTTCCTTTGAGCCCAGATAGTCCTTGACTCACCTCAGTCTGTAACTGGACTGTGAAAGGAGAAGCAGAGCAGTGACAAGCACATCTATCACTCTGCTTTCTCCTCCTATCAGCATTCTTCTTCATTCAGTACATGAACTGATTGGCTCCTTGTGCTGCTTCTTCCTCTCACATTCTAGCCCTGTTCTAAATGAAAATATGCCCAGACCACACAATTGTAGATTCTATGTATGTAACAGATTTAAGAGACATAAAGCCCACTGAGGTCTTTAGGTTTTCTTTATTTATAGTTCCAAACCTCTGTATGTTATGATTTTTATTTGGGAATGCTATAAAATACTTTTTTTCCCTTTGTAGAAATGTACTTCTTGCCCTCCAACTCCAGCATGCCGACATAGCTGTGTAACAGCCACAACCCTCATTCTAAGTGTAATCACACAGAATTTTAGTGTTGAGGAAGAGATGGTGAGAGTCTGGCCAGATCTGAAGCAGTCAACTCCGGTGCCTATTGTACTAGTGCTTATGGTCTTATTTAGGCCCGATTCACACTTGTGATAGGGCTGTTACCAATTACATACGAGAGACCCAGTAGGAATTCTCGGCAATTAGCTGCGGGTGGCAGCCCTGTTGAAAGGCTGACAGCTTTTGACAGTTTCTGCAGCTTATTGCAGCCATTCACAATGTAATCGCTCATGGAGCAATTACCTGCGATGATCGGCTCTGGACTGAATATCACAGGTAATCCGTCCATGAAAGCTTACATGAGTACAGCTGTGATTAGCTGCAGGTGCTGTCAGCCTCCTGCTTGCAAATGGTAGAAATTCTGCTGTGTCTTTCGCATGTAATCTTTAAACGCCCATTTACAATTGTGAATGGGGCCTTAGGCTCAGTTCACACTATGCGGGCCACATGGGCCGCATTTGCTCGGGCAAGGCAACCCAATCATTTGAATGTTTCCTGCAGGAGAAAGGTGCATGTCTTTTTGACCATGCGATCTCCCTGTGGTTCCCGCAAGCATGCTGCAGGCTAAGATGCGTGGGGGTGCCAATAAGAACGAATGCCAGCTCCATGCGTCTCGTAAGAGCAGCACGATTTGGCTGTGGGTGGTTGCGGAACACGGATTCCTGCTCCCACAACCAGTTTGCAGACTGCGGGCAAGTGTGAACCAAGCCTTACAGCCTTAGTTAACAGGTCAGAAGAAGGTCAAATTCAAGTTAAATATACCTGTCAATAAATTCTAAGTGATCTCATACATACTAAGGGGAGTACAACTGGGGGAATCAATGGTGGAGAAGGATCTGGGGGTTCTGGTAGATCATAAGCTTAATAATGGCATGCAATGCCAAGCTGCAGTTTCCAAAGTCCTATAGACTATAGCCTCCAGAGAGACAGATACCATTTTACCCCTGTACAAATCATTAGCAAGACCTCATCTGGAATATGCAGTTCCGTTTTTAGCACCTATTTACAAAAAGAACATTGGGGAACTGGAGAAAGTACAGAGAAGGGCAACCAAACTGATAAGAGGCATGGAGGAGCTCAACTATGAGGGAAGATTAGTGGAACTGAATTTATTCTCTCTTGAGAAGAGGAGATTAAGGGAGAGATATAGGCAATATATATGTATAAAATACATAAGTGGTCCATATTGTGAACTTGGTGTGGAGTTATTCACTGCAAGTTCATCACAAAGGACAAAGGGTCACTCTTTACGTCTGGAGGGAAAGAGATTTAATCTTCAAATAGAGAAAGGCTTCTTCACAGTAAGAGCTATGAAAATGTGGAATAGACTCCCTCAAGAGTTGGTTCTGGCCAACTCAGTAGATTGCTTTGAAAAAAGGCCCAGATTCTTTCCTAGATACACAGAATATAACTAGATACTAATATTTATAGGTACAGTTGATCCAGGGAATATCCGATTGCCTCTTGGGGGATCAGGAAGGAATTTTTTCCCCTGCTGCAGCAAATTGGATCATGCTTTACTGGGGTTTTTTTTTTGCATTCCTCTTCTCAGCTGTGATAGGGATAGTGTATATGGAGGTTTTGTGTGTGTGCATGTGCTAGTTTTTATATGTTAGTTGAACTGGATGGACTGGATGTATGTAACTATGTAACTATCTCAGAATGCTCTCAAACTGATGTCAAAAATCTAAACACAGACCCTAAGGCAGGCCATAGACGGGCCATTTATTGGCCGAATTTTCAGCCAATAAACGAAAAATCGGTCGGCCCCGTTGCCGATCCTGCCACCCATGTCCACGAAAAATGGCCTTTTTTTGCGGATTTTCCAGCCTGACTGATAAAACTGAATGAGAAGATCAGAGAACAAGGCCCGACGGGCTGGCCCCACTAAAAGCGTGAATATCGGCCAATTTTTCGTGTGGACGAAAAATTTGGCCGATAAATGACCCGCCTATGGCCTGCATAAGCCACATTGTGTTACAGCTGTAACAGAAAAGCAGAGGTAAGATTGTGAAAATGGAAGTTTTAGGCACAATGGGGGGAATCAGGGGCGGACTGACCATTTAGAAACTCGGGCACTGCCCGAGGGCCCGGGGTCAGTAGGGGGCCCCATGAGATGCCCCTGGTACCTTTTTCATAGGCTTTTTTGAGTTTGGGCAAGGACACAGGGGCCCCATGATCCACTATTGCCCGGGGGCCCCATGAGTTGTCAGTCTGCCCCTGGGGGGAATTTAGCAATTTTGATGCACAGGTAGGCAACACTAAACAGAAGCAGTGACACAGATTTGAAGCAGATTTGTTATTTCATTTGGGCAGCTTCATTCATAAATTCCCCATCAGCTGCTCTAAAATAGCACTGTGACAGAATAAAACCTGCCCCTGACCACTTCTTAAAGAGTTACTAAAGGCAAGTAAGGGGGAGCACAGGAAACTTAAAAACACTTTATACCTTAATGCAAGCAATGCAAAAGGTAAAAAAAACGATTTTAGGTTTAGTATCACTTTTTTGTGCATCTGTTTTAAGTAAAGTTTGTCTCATCTGAATTAGTATATCTTTTGTAGACCTGTACCACTGTGTTGTAGTTGACTGCCCAGCCTTCAGAAATGCACATAAAAACTGAGAGTGTATTTATAAAAACTTTGCAAAGTTATTTATTTTACATGTGCAAATGGGGACAACATAGAATTTTATGGGCCTATTTTCTCTCCAGGTTGAATGTTCTTCAGAGAGTGAATCAGGAAAATGCTACTTATGGCTACTAGATGGAGCTGACAATCATAGTATATAAGTATTTCTTTCCAATTAGCTCCATCTGGTGGCCATCATTCAGTATTTTCCTGATTCACTCTTCTGTATAAATGAAGATCATTCAACCCGGACAGAAATTAGCCTATTAACCTTTGAGTTTGTCCCCAATTGCACAGAGTATATGTATATACAGTACTCTATAATTTTTTATAAATATTCCCCATAGTTAACTGATAAGCAACCTGATTTACATCCTATCATTTATTTGCATAATAAATGTATATCTAACTGAAAAACTAATATCTCATGTAAACTCTAGCATGTTAATTTCAAAATGTGTTTTTAATCTTTATATATACACAGCTTTCAGTAAAAGAATACCTGGTGATCCGAACACACCCTGGCACTTCCTGTTATGTATTTTTGAAGTCCATCAATGTCCATCTAACTGAATATCTATTTTGAAGACTTTAACTGAGCTTTTATGTAAGGTCTAAAAGCTAACACTCAAATGCATTATATACCCCAGTGTTTCATTATTCATGGTTTTTTATACTATTATCAGGAACAGAGAATGCTTTGGTAGTCTAAGTGGTTATTCCAATGCCAGGGGTTTTGACCTTCACTTGCCTGGACCAGATTTTGGAGTGGGATTTTATCTCTCTCTAATTCTCCTCATTTCCTCCATTCTGTATCATAGGAAACATCTTTGGGTTTTGTGGATAGAGCCTGGAGGCATCGGTGATCTTCCCAGGTTCTAAATGAAAGCCAAATGCTAAAGCAAGAATAAAAAAGGTTTGATCTAAGGTATTCTTCCAGGAGCTCACACTGATATGAAGTCTAATTCCTAATATTACATAGTCTCCAAACACACTCTTTAATACTAAAAAACAGATTAGTGCTTCTCTTAGATAAGGTATAACCTATATTTCCAAAACCGACTGGTATTAGGAACATCATGTCATCCGTTGGAGAAAACAGATGACTTGATATAGAGTACATTCCACTCTGTGGTTTAAATGAGCATGCTAATATCATTATTATCATCACCTCTAACATGCACAGGTGTTCAGATCAACTGAACTGAATCTACAGATCTACAGGTGAAACTCGAAAAATTAGAATATCGTGCAAAAGTTCATTTATTTCAGTAATGCAACTTAAAAGGTGAAACTAATATATGAGATAGGATCATTACATGCAAAGCAAGATAGTTCAAGCCGAGATTTGTCATAATTGTGATGATTATGGCTTACAGCTCATGAAAGTTATGTGGAAGGGAAAAAAGTGTGGAAGATGTTCTACGATATTCTAATTTTTCGAGTTTCACTTGTATACTGGGTTTACTTCAACATTCTATACATATAGAACTGTTTACTCTTTCTAACACCAGCTGTGATCACAAATGCAACAAAGAGTTGGAATTCCAAAGTATTACCCTATGTCATTTGATGGAAGTTAGTATATAATATGGCTTCATTAAAATAATAATTTAAGATGTAAAATGTAACATGGGGGTACCCCATGTAAATATGAATTTTAGTAAATATGCTAAATATGAAGTTTAGCAGCAGAAACTAATAAAATAGTATACCAATGGATGTTTAAAGAAGATCTAAAACGGGCAGCACAGTGGCTAAATGGTTAGCACTTTCGCCGGGCAGTACTAGGGTCGTTGGTTTGAATCCCAACCACGGCACCTCCTGCCTGGAGTTTGCATGTTCTCCTTGTGCCTGCGTGGGTTTCCTACGGGTACTCTGGTTTCCTCCCACACTCCAAAGATATGCTGGTAGGTTAATTGGATCCTGTCTAAAAATTAGCCCTAGTATGTGTATGTATGAATGTGAGTTAGGGACCTTAGATTGTACACCCCTTGAGGATTAGGGACTGATATGAATGTACAATATATATATGTAAAGCGCTGTGTAAATTGACGGCGCTATACAAGTACCTGAAATAAATAAAATCTCATAAAAATGTTAAAGCAGAACTCCGGGCAAAACCTTATTTACTTGTCCTTGTTGCTGATGTCCTTCTTTCACTGAATAGTTAATTCATATTTTAGTTCACTCAGTAGTTGCTCTGAAATAGCCTATTCATTTTCAAATCAAACCATTAATTCTCACACATCCCTTCTTTAGTTCTTTCTCCAGGAAGCAGTGATGTCATTCAGCCCAGCTTGCTGTGGTGGGTGGACCGAGACTCTCAGACATATTCAACATGCACAGGCCTAGCGTACCCACCCACATTCACTACGATTCCCTGTGGTTGATGGGAACTGTAGTTTCCTTTTACTGTTGACAGAGAAGAGAGGATATGATGTAATCCCTGCTGTTAAACCTCCTCCTTGGCAGAGCAGATGCTATCTTTTTAATTAAGAAATTAGGTCATAAACATTCAATTAGAGTTTTCTCCTAAATGGTAAGGATTTTCAAAATTGTATTAATTGTTTAGTATTTTGTATAGGGGGGTGTACTAATGTTTGATTTTTTGCCTCTCCCGGAGTTCTTCTTTAACATGTTAATGTCATTTCAAAAGGTGCTTTAATTTTTTTTTTTAAGTGTAGGTTCACCTTTTCAGAAAAAAATTCAAAGATGAACTAACACTGTACACCCTGTATTTAACTTGGGTGATACGCTGTCAGTGCCCATGCAGCTAGTGTAGCAGTTTGGAGATTTGAAATCCCCACTCTTCTCCCTGTCCTTTCTGCAGGGCTTTTGGGACAGATCAGATTAATTCTGATTGGTCAGTGTCACCACAGAGCATTGCTTTTATTCATCCCTGAAGCACTGCAGAAATAAAAGGGAGAAGAATGGGGGTTTCAAATCCCCAGACCGTGATACAGCTAATGCTAGAGCAAGTGTGTTTAGTAAGGAAGTGTCTGAAAAAGGCTGGAGGAGATCAGCAGTGCTGTATGACTCACAGATTCGCTCATTATCTGTTTTCCTACTGTTTTCAGGAAAAAAAAAAAAAGAAGAAAACTGTTCTGTTTATATTGTAACATTTGCCTTAAGATGCAATAAAGTTTACTGTTTAAAAAAAAAAGTAGGCATGGTATGAAAAAACATGTTCATGATATTTGCTATAACAGATTAACAAGACACTAATCTTTGGTTTAAAAAAATGTATTCAAGTATATATCATTAACTAAAAAAGTACCATCTATTGCTCTCAGCCTCATCCAAATTCCTACATTTCTGCTGTGACCAGACTTCCTGTTAGAAGGTAGTTACATTCATTCTGCATGATCCCATTGCATGTAGAAACACAGCAAACCCTTGCTTGCTCACTCCTGGAATGGACTAGGGACCAGGGACTATGGACTACAGGATGTGCAGGGTGCATAGAGCAGTACACATGATGGAAACGAATGTGCACTGCTCATTCCAAACAAAGGGGAGTGAGGGAGAAAAGGAGAGGTCCGTTCTGAGAGAGTTCACAGGGGACATTATAAGGATGCAAAAACTGAAAAATAGATTACAGAGCCATTAAGTAGTAGATGTGTATGGATTATTTTTGGAGACTAAAAATACCATTTAGTGTCATTTTACATGACATCTAGCTGGGTTTAGATGTACTTCAACCAATTTTTGGCTAAAAATTTCAAAAAGTTGGATAAATACATACTACAAAGACCAACTGCTCTTTGGAGAAGAAAAAAGATCTACTTTGTACCCAATTGTAGCGTAGTCAGATATCAAGCACCTCCCACCCGCCATATAAGGACGGACGGGCGCCAGGCGGTTCTCTTGTTCTGGGAGGATGTCACATGACGTCCTCCCACTCTAACCACGTGTGAGCGGCTCTGGGGACGCGCAGCACAGCGATCAGTGATGAGCTGTGTCCCTTGGACACAGCAGATCAACGGAAAGAGCCGAAGATGTCAGATCTGTCATGTGATCAGTTGTGTCCAATCACAGCTGATCGCATATAAATAAGGAAATGTCGGTTATCGGCATTTCTCTCCTCTTGAGCTGTCACGCTGACAGCTCGTGAGGAGAGGAGAGCCGGTAATTGGCATTCCTCGGAGGGGACATCTACACTGATCATCAGGGCACTGATGATCAGTGTGCCCATATGATCAGTGTAGCCCCAGCAGTGCCACCTGTCAGTGTCCATCAATGTCAGCTGTCAGTGCTCATCAATGCCACCTGCCAGTGCTTATCAGTGCCACATCAATGCCACATATCAGTGCCTACCAGTGCACATCAATGTCACATATCAGTGCCCATCTGAGCTGCCTTTCAGTGCCACCTATCAGTGCCAGTCAGTGCCACCTATCAATGCCAGTCAGTGCCTCCTATCAGTGCTGCCAGTCAGTGCCAGTCAGTGCTGCTTATAAGTGCCAGTCAGTGTCACCTATCAGTGCACATCCGTGCCACCTAACAGTGCCAGTTGATGCTGCCTATCAGTGCCAGTCAGTGCCGCCTATCGGTGCCACCTATCAGTGCCGCCTATCAGTGCCATATGAGTGCTGCCTTTCAGTGCCCATCAGTGATGCCTGTCAATGCCCATCAGTGCCACCTACCAATGCCTCCTCATCCGTGCCCATCAGTGCCACCTATTAATGCCAATTAGTGCAGCCTATCAGTGCTCATCACTGCAGCCTCATTAGCACACATCAGTGAAGGAGAAAAAAATCCACTTTTTTTTTCAAACTTTTCAGTGTTTTTTGGTTTGTTTAGCAAAAAATAAAAAAAACCCAGAGGTGATTAAATACCACCAAAAGAAAGCTCTATATGTCTAAAAAAAATTATATAAATTTCATATGGGTACAGTGTTGCATGACCGCGCAATTTTTTTCATTCAAAGTGTGACAGCGCTGGAAGCTGAAAATTGGCCTGTGCAGTAAGGGGGTATTAGTGCCCTGTAGGCAAGTGGTTAAATGTGTTTATAATGCTACATTTTCCTGCAGGTTAGAAGAATAGACCCGTGTTCCAAAGAGTTACAGGTTCTACATCATTAGTTAGCCATTAAAATTAAGAATCCATTATAAAACATCGCTCTTTTACCCGTGCTAAAAAGATGAAAAATACTGTGGTTTATGTAAAAACGTGTTTTGATTGAAGGATGGAAAATGTAAATGTTGATATTTCAAATATGGAAAAAAAAAACATGTTAATTCAACAGGAACACAAACATATAAGTAGAGGTTAATTTTCTGTTTGAAAATTCACACAAAAAAGCTTATTAGAAATATATAGAGAGAGGGTGATAACATCTCACTGGAAAGGTTAAAAAGCCCCGTCAAGGACAAAAGGTGCTTTCATGGATTCAGTATCAACACTTACATAACTGCATACCTCGGTGCTGTGGAAATGTGTCTACACTACTGGCATACCAGTGCCAATGCATTATTTATTCCTTCCACGAGAGGAATACCTGTCTCCAACTTCAGATTACCACAAACATCTGTAATGGTGGCAAAATGTGCTTGGAAAAATTATCAATTTCTTTCCAACTGACCTTCTCCAATTGGAATAATCAGTCTAAAGTCGGCAACCCATTCGTTCAATATGCCACACGGGGAAGTGGATTTTGATTGATAGTTAAGATAAGATCATAACTTATGATTGCAAGTCATTGAACACATCTGTGTTTCCACTATGAAATCTCATAATCTGATCAATTGAAATATGAATGTATTCATGAACAAAGTATTTCAACGCTACTGATCAATGCAAAACAACTGATAATATTGCGCCTTGGCAGACAACATCAGTTTGATTGAATTCAAATTAAATTGATCAGAAGGGAAGATATGGCTATTTGATATATTGAAGATTTCATTATTTTTTATTGAATTGCAGATCAGTTGGATATTAACCACTTGCCAACCGCCAGCAGTACTTCGCGCTGGCTGTACTAACACAAAGGGGCACTGTGCACCCACTCAGCTCGCCCCCCTCGATCGCTGTGTCATCACAGCAGAATGAAGATCCTGGTAATCAGGATCCGGTGATCAAGTGACCACAATGCTAGCAAAGCTATTATGAATCAATCAGATTCGTAACAGCTTTGCTTCTCCTCCTGGCAGGGGCGTCCCTAGGGTTGGTGTCACCCGGTGCGATAACACTTGGTGACACCCCCTCCGACGATCCCTGCAGAATGGATCGGATCTGCAGATTAAGCATAATGGATCGGACTCCGATCCATTATGCTTCCCAATCCGCAGATCCGATCCATCCTGCAGGGATATTCGGCTTTCTTTACAACTTACCTTTTTGTGGAGTGGGTCCAGTGTCACCCTGTATAGGTTGCATGCCGACGATCCCCGCAGGATGGATCGGATCTGCAGATTGAGCATCATGGATTGGAGTCCAATCCATTATGCTCCCCAATCCGCAGATCCGATCCATCCTTAGGGGATCATCAGCTTGCTTTACAACTTACCTTTTCGTGGAGCGGGTCCAGGGTCACCCCGTGCTGTAGGTGTCAACCGGTGCAGTGCGCACCCCCCACATCTGCCTCAGGAAGCCACTGCCTCCTGGGGAGCTGGGGTTGACCCACAGCTCTCACATGTTACATGGGCCAATCTCAGCACCCTGCACCATGTGATTATCTGTAGCCAATCACAGATCACTAGTATTTTGAACTGTCATGAACTTAACTCATTCATGACAGTTCAAAGCAAGCATTGCATTGCAGGAGCAATACTCTTTATTGCTCCTGCAAAGCAAAGTGTAAAAAAAAAATCCCTGATCGCCCCCCACCAGAGTAGTACAATGTTATTATATTAACATTGAACTTAAATAATAAAAAACATTGTTAATAAAATAAAATAGAGAAAAAAAATTAAAAAACTATTATTTTTTCAAGGTTTTTTTTTTTTTTTTTTATTTTTAAACTGCTAGCCAACCACCTGCCCACAATATGCAGGCGAGGGGGGCTCTGAGCAAAGCAACGTATCCTTACATCGCTTTCTATTTCTCTATTTCTGGGTAACCTCCCCACTGAACCCCTCCCCCTTTGGTCCAGGGAGAGAAGAGAGAACTGAGTATCAGTACTACATTTTACACACACACACACACACACGTTAGATTAGCACATTTAACTATTTGACCGCCCCCTGTTAACCATTTGATCACCCCTGTCACCCAGCCAGTGCCATTAGTACAGTGCCGGTATATAGAATTTTTCACTGATCACTGTATTTCTGCCACTAGCAACATCAGATAGCATCAGCGTGAGTTAGTGTCACTGCCAGCCAGTGTCATCAAGTGGTAGATTGCCCACACACTATCGCATTCATACTATAGGTCGCTGAACACTACCATTACTAGTATAGTATTTTTACAGATCAATATATTGTTCATGAAAAGACCTATACTAGTGCCTCCCTTAGTATAGAAGCCCCAAAAGCGCAGTGTTAGTAGGCCCCATTTGCTGCCAGCACTAGCATTTAGCCCCTCCACTGTTTTTCACTGAAGATTTGTATCAACTGATTGTGGGCCAAAACAATTAATATGCACAACAATATATCGCCGCCCACTCAAACTTAGCTCTTGACAGAAACTTTGCATGGAAACCTATCACGGTTTTCGAATGTAAAACTTTTTTGGGTCTAACCCTCAACATGGGCATTACAAAAAAGAATGAATTGCAATTATATTGGTCCACAGACCCCCCCCCTTCCCGCCTTCCACAGCTTTCTTGAGCTCTCTCCATCCACCTGGGTACCCAAGAATGCAGCCGGTGGTTCCACGGGCTGACCATAGAGCTGATCAGAGACCAGAATGGCTCCAATCATCTCTATGGTCTAAGAATCTAAGAAACTGGAAGCAGCGAGCATTTCACTGGATATAAACATTTTTAAATTGGGAAAGCATCTGATCACACCGATCAAGGTTTGGTCAGATGCTTTAAGAGCAGAGGAGAGATCTAGAGACAAATAGACCACAGATTTCTCAGACTGCAGATTTCTGTCATTGCCTATTGCTATCATAGGGGATATTTACATTCCCTGTGATACCAATTAAAGTGATCAGAAAAAAGAAATTAAAGGGACAGTGTAAAAATAAAAAAGCAAAATAAATAAGTAACCCCCCCGTGTTTGTGTGCAAAGGCGAACGCAAGCTTTGCTCTCGTGTCAGTATGTAAAAAGAGATTGCACCATGCATGTGAGGTATCACTGTGAACATCAGATGAGGGCAGTATTTCAAGCACTAGAACTCCTGTGTAAATCTAAAGTGGTAACCTGTGAAGGCTTTTAAAGCATCCCCTATGGATATTAAAAATGTATGTAGTTTGACGCCATTGCAAGGGCGTGCAAAATTTTACTGCATGTCATGTTTGGTATCTATTTACTCAGCATAACATCATCTTTTATGTTTTATGAAACAATTGGGCAATATATTCTGTTTTTGTGGATTAAAATTCAAAAGTTTATTTTTTCCAAAAATTTGCATTTAAAAAATCGCTGCTCAAATATTGTGTGACATAAAAAATTACAACACCCACCATTTTATTCTCTAGGGCCTCTGGTTTAAAAAAACATATATATATATATAATGTTTGGGGGTTCAAAATAGTTTTTCTAGCAAAAAAACCAGTTTTTTCATGTAAACAGTGTCAGAAAAGGCTTGGTCTTCAAGAGGTTAGATGAGTGGGTGAAGTGGGTGAAGAATCTAATGTTGGCCCTGAAATGCCAGGATAACAGAATTATCCATTTTTGGAAAGTAGACACATATTTACTAAGGCAGGCCTTGAAATTTCCACTCGCCTGCTCGCATTTTGTGAGTGGAAATAACATGGGGGCAAGGGCAGATCGATCAAACAGCCAATGGATATGGAGCGGGGTGCCGGCACCAGAGGAGGATGTGTGTCTGTGTATATGTGTGTGCTTGTCTGTGTGTGTATGTGTTTATGTTTTGTGTGTATGTTTGTTTTTGTTTGTTTATATTTTGTTTTTTGTGTGTGTGTTATTTTTGTTTTTTTGTTTGTTTTCTGTTTTGTACAGTGGGGATCGAAAGTTTTTTTTTTTTTTTTTTTTTTGTATTAATGTTTTTTAAAGAAGCCAAGGAGAGATGGAAAAATATCCAATAGCCATCAAATTTTTTTTTTTTTTTTTTCTTATAATATGTCAACAAAAGTTTTTTTTTTTTTTTTTCATTTTTTTTTTTTTTTTGTGTTTTGTTTTTTTTGTTTTTGGCATCTTTTTTTTTTTTTTTTTTGCAGAGTTTTTATCTTGTTTGCCCCCTTTGGCAAGTATCACAGCTTGTAAACGTTTTTTTTGTAGCCAGCCAAGAGTCTTTTTTTCTTGTTTGAGGTTTCTTTTTTTTTTTTTCTTTTTTACAAAAGTCTCCCAGTTCTTTGAGATTTTTTTTTTGTTTGTCACGCACTGCTCTTTTTTTTTTATTTTTTTTAGATTTTCAATTATGTTTGAGGTCAG